ACCCAGCCTGGCCAGTGGGCTATTCAATACCGTGTGATGTCATGCTCAGAGCATATATTTTGGGGGAGCCGCCAGGGGAAGGGTTTTGCTTCATGCATTGGGAGCGGACGAAGTTCCGGGTTCCGCATGGTAAGCAGTTGTAGCGGTTGTTTTGTATTGTTCTTGTAATAGCATTATTGTACTTCATTATTCTTTCTCATTTTTCTTGTATTGTTCTATTAAATTTCCCTTGTCCCAATTCACTGGTTTTACCCTTTCCTCCCGATTTTCTCCTCCCCACCCCACTGAGGGGGAGGACTGACCCAGCAGCAGCGTGATAGCCTAGCTTCTGGCTGGGCTAAACCATGACACTTTCTCAGTTTAATTATTCATTCCTAGCAATTACTTCAAGGCAGACGGTTGACAGGTACTATTTTGACAAATATTTTCATAACATTATTCAAATATCTTTATAGGTACTAAATTCTCAACTTAATACTACAGTAATATGACAGTACAGCAGGCAGGTTACATTCACACAGAAGAGTCAAATTCTTTTTCAGAGCTGTGATAAATACCAGGTCTAAGCAAAACTGATAAAATTATCAAATTTTTTGCTGTACTATTAGCCCTAGTTTGAAATTCTTCCATATACTCAACCATTACTGGGATTTTGGATGGAGATGCCAAGATTTTTCTAATTCTCCTGAATAACAAGAAAGTGAAGTGTAGCTGCTTCCTGAAAACTCCATGGATGAATAAACCACAACTTTCTTCAAGATAAAACAGAAAGACAACTTTCGCAGCCCATCTCAATTTAAAAACACATGAGCCTTTGCACAATCCAATTCTGATACAGGAAAACAGAATGAGACAGCAGTGCTTAATACCCAGTTCGAAACTTCTCCATCCATTTATTGTGAGGTATTGATAGTGGGAAGTATTTCTATGCAAATGACCGAAGTTATAATCAATAACTGGAAAATGTCATCCTTACTGAGGTACTTTCCAGATAGTCCTATTATTTGCAAGTTAAGGATCTTGTTAGTTGCTCAAATAACAATTACAATTTATATTGAACAGCTACGGGACAAAACGCAATGCTATATGCAATTATTAGTATTGACCTCACTGAAGCCCTTCAAAAAAGACCTTGATCAAAATCACAGATGACTGAAACACTGTTAGTTAGACAGAGGGTCAGTTGAAGTTTATCAGATTGAAGTCAAATTAAGCCTTTGGAAAAAGCCTCACAAAGATACAGTGTCCAGTGTATTGTGGAGATACAATTATTAGTAAATAATTGTGTTGAATTCTGAGAAATTGTTCTGTTGAAGAAGACCTAGAGTACCTCACACTGTCCTCCTCATAGAATCTATTGTCACTTTATCACCACTAAAAGGCAGTCACTCACTCACTGAAGAAAGATCTGAATACACAAAAAAATCAACTGCTTGCAACTGCTTTCAAGTTATGCACTATAAGCTTGGTTTCAAGCTCCGTACCTTATTTTCTGCTTAGAAGAATTAAATATCAGCTGGAAGTTTGGTTCTGTGCGTTGCTCAGAAATTAACTCTTACTAATTCTTAATGCTCCAATTAGGAAGAAAAATCCAAAGATTCAGTTTTGATACACAGTAAAAGTCCAAGCAAATGTGAGGGGGAAAAACTGAAGACAAAGTAATCTTGACGAAATCATGAATACAACCTCATGCTTTCGAAAAACCTGAGACTATCACTGCACTTAAAACTGGCCAGCAATGACAATAGTTTTGAGACTTCATAGTCACCTGCTTCTACAAACTGCTGCAAAAATAAACGTTCAAGTGTAATAAGAGCTCTGTTATATAATAGTGAATGAATGAATCACTTACTCCCTTAAAACTTACAAATAAAACAATTTTGCAGAGATAGATGGGCTTTTTCTTTTTTTTTTTTTTTGTTATAGCACCACCAAATAGAATTGGTACAATATAAAAATACTGAAGGTAATTCAACTGCTGGAAAGCGTATCTGATTTGTCGTGTCACACAATTTTATAAAAGCTATTCAGTTGGAAGGCAATAAATGAGCATTCAAGTGATTTACACACTTTTGGATCATAATTTTTTAGTCAATGTTTTATTTTTAAAAATATATATATGCTGTATACTATTATGTTTATTCTCTGTGGTATAATAAAATCATAAATCTATCTGATGAAAAATGAATTGTATTCCAATTGCATCACTGTAGCGCATAGAGCTGCTCTTATCATACCACTTACAAAGATCAATGGTAACTCGAAAATGATTTCATTCCATGCTACCTCTAATATATTAGCAATAAAAGAACTCTTTTTAATTTAAAAGTCACATCAGCTGCTGTCCATCTTCTTTTAAACTCCTCTCCATTTCTGAAAGTGACATATTACAGGAGTAAAATATCACCTGGTAACTACAGGGCTACTTTTTGATTTTCCTTGTGAAAATTAGTTTAAAAACTAGCTTAAGTGTCAATTCAGCAGAAATACAGAGCTTTATGCTGCTGTGTACCACACCCTAACCCAATTTCCTGCTCTCCTTCGATAAAACACTGTTTGGATCTCACAAAACTTACAGCGAACGGCCCTTCTAATTTATAGGACTATGTACCTAAGACAGGCACAATCAGCCGCCTAAAAAATGTACGAATAGTTCCACTGGGACGATGTTAATGGAAAATGTAACACAAAATGTTAACTGATACAAAGTACCATTAAAAGGAATGAACAGCTGGCCTGCTTTCCCACAGCCAAAAGTTTTCTCAACCAGCAGCATACATTTACACACATTAAAAACAAAAAGAGTAGTAAAACATGCATTCCAAAGACTCATCTTGATAATAATCTTTCTAACTCTCAGGCTGGCTCTGCATAATGACGACAAAATCACTTTTGTTTGGTAGCTTAAGAGGTGACAATGCATCTGCCAAAAATGCTGATGCTGTTTTTTTCCAGATATTCGAGACCATAGCAACTCAAAACTTAACTACCTATAATTGTGTTACGACATCAACTAAACTCTACATTTCACTGATGTCAACAGTTGGAAAATTGTAATACGAAATTGCACTATGCAGTGGTCCACAATAGCATGTTTCCCAGATATTCACTACCATAGCTACCCTGGGATCATTACTATCGCAACTGCATTTGTAAACATTATGTTTTTAAATGAAAATGTTCAAAATGTGAGATAAGAGTAATATAAACAAAAAGCCTGGAAAATCTCTTAGCCTGGCATAAGCAACATAACAATAATTCAGAAGTGACCTAAATCAGTTTTCAGTGAGATACAGCAATGGTTTATCTCTGTTCTTCAGGAAGGTGTTGGGGAGCAGACAAAGACCTCTCTCAAATGTGGGCTTCATTAAAATTACACAATCTTAAAACAGACATCACGAAGGGCATTCTTTGAAATCATACAACTCTCGTGCACTGTTATCCAAAGGTGCAAGCATTTTCAAAATTTAATACAAAATTATGCTGTTTGTTATATCTCTGAAGGTACACTAATTTGTTTTTAAATGGGCAATCAGTTTATTTGCTTAAGAGCATCTTTCACAGATCAAAGTATTTTAAAGGTTCTAAAGAGCTTAGCCACAAAACACCACCACCACTTTTCAAATAAGGCACAAAATCTTGAGCTGTTTTTTTTTTTGTAGTCATGCATACAATACACATCAAAAAAGAACTCTCCAGTACTCCACTGTACTGTAGCATTGATTTTTGGAAACCAGTATGTCACAAAGAACTGGAAAACGAAATATATACAAAAGAAATCCTAGTTAGAAAATCTTCTGTTGCAGCATAACAGTTGTAACTGAAATAGGTAAACTAATGGCTTATATAAAAAAGAATAAAATTATATTAACTTACTTGCTCTTTCTACTTCCATTAGAAATGCTTGAAGAACATAAGGAGTTCAAATTTTGCTTTTTTTTTTTTAAATTCTTTAGCTCTTTTAGTAAATAAAAATTCTATCTCATAGCTGTAGGAAATACAACTGCCATGGGAATACACATTTTCTTCCTCCACTATCACACCTACTGCTGTAATTCCTAAGATTAAGATGATCAACTGTTAAAAATACCATACAGAGAAAGACTACAGCACAAATATATATGACATTAAAAATCTGCTAAATGCTCAAGTGGTTATGGTAAAATTATTACTGACATAATTATCAGAATTTTAACCTACAACTGAAAAGAGAGAAAAGCGGTATTTCCTAAACGTAGTGACTTTCACTAATATTTTGGATACAAATAAAAATAATCTTTACCTAGAAGAGTTCTTCTTTATTTTTTCATCAAGGTCACTAAGGATTTGTTGAAACTCCAGTTCTCCAGGAAGGACATTTAACAAACAGTCTAAATTGGAAGAATCAAAAGAATACTCTCCTCCCCACTCCATTTTCAGAATCTGTAAAATACAGAAAAGTGGTTAACAAATGAAAAAATTCAGACTAAAAGTACCTAAATAAGTAACATCTTCTTCCTTGGAAATACTGTGATTAATAAGGGAAATGTTTATGTAGGGAATTATAAAATCAGTGTTGAATAGTAAACCTTGTGCATGCTTCTGAGTAGTGTGTTACAGAGAGGGACACCTGTAAAATAATAAATTTTATAAAAGCCTGAATTTTTTTTGGTTTAAAAAAAATCAGTTCTTTTACCTTAATCAGAGTACTAGCTTTCTTCATTTTTTTTAAATATTTAGAAACAAAAATCTTACTATTATAACTGGAAACCATAAAAATAAATACATTAGAGGGTAAATTTATTTTCTGTGTGCTTATAATTAGGCACACCAGTGCAAATAACTAGAAGGTAAAAAGCCAGCCCTACACTATAATGTACCAGAAAGGACGCATCATCTTGCTTTGTATGCGTTTTATTCACCAAATACTTTGCCACAACTTAAGTCAAATCCACTGGCCTACTCAAACTAAGACACTAAATCCCAGGAGTCTTTATATCAGAAGCAAAGCATTAGCAGAGGGTTTTCTTCCTGTTTTCTGGGGGGTTTTTGTCTTCTCTTTTTTTTGAGAAATAATGAAGTCAATTTTACAACCACTGATGAGTTGCTACGAAAGTTAAAGAAAAAATTACATAAAAGGTGGGAACTTCTAAATAACCAGTATATTTCATGTTTACTATTTAGTATTTAATAATACAATTCATATTGCAGCAGCAACATGAGGAACAAACACAGCTATTCAGATGCACACAATGTTCAGTAAACAAAATACGATGAATTAATAAATACAATATTTTTCTTACAAGGAATATTCTTTCATGAAGCAATTTCAGTGTTGGTTGGAAATTTACCTAGAGGCACCACTAGAAAAACAGATTTGAGAGTTTTTTCTAAGTGAACAGTCTACAAGACACATGCTCCAAAAGAACATAAGACTAAGGTGCAAGATCAAGATGATAGTTTCTGGTCAGCTAAGACTGTACACCTACAAGGAGCAGAACTGCATATTTCTTCAGCAGAAAAGACTGCTGATTCTGGTTTTCCTCTTTCAAAACAAAGAAGAAATGTGAAGGTCCTTTAAAAAACAGTATCTTGCACATCTGCATTAACAGCACAATACTACGAAATATTTCACAGCTACATCATTTTCTTAAATTCTCAGAAGCTACAGAATACCCCTTTGCGAATAACAACTCAAAGACTTTCAATATTTTGGAATGTAGCTGAAACTCAGTCAACCCTCCGGTTGAAAAGTTTGGATGTAAACCAAACACATCAAGGGAAGATCAGTCTTTGAATATAGGTCTCAAAGTATTTTAACAGATGTTACTGCAATTAAAGGTAGAAGTTAAAAACCACTCTTCCCAATGCTGAAACACTTGTCAGTTGCTCTGGCAAAAAAGCAGTCGGCTAACTTGGGAAGGTTCTGCAACCAATGGAAAAACATTAAACAGTGCTTTACAGAACTCAGATAAAAGGAATACTGAAAATACAGTTGTTCACTCATGGATGATACTACTTATACTCAGACGAGGTCACATAAACCCTTTACCTTCTCTCTTCAGAAATATCTCAAGAGTTTATACAGTACGCGATGCTAACTCCATTCAATACCTATAACTCAAACACATCTTTTATTCAACTATGCTTGCAGAAAAGTCAATGACTGGTGTAAAATGTACTGTATAATAGATGTAATGCAAAAACAACAACAGCTGGGAATGATTCAGAGTTTTCATAAGACAGCTGCACGATCAAAATTTTGTATTTATTCCTAACTCTTTTCCTTACAAGATACCCAAAAGAAGCTTGTGTTCCTCAGAAAAAATATCAGTATAGTTTACAGACCACTTATTGTTTGAAAAATTCCTTGAACAAAAAAAATTTCCTTGTAAACACGACAGCCTAATTTTCATGTATGCATTCCTGTAAGACTTGTGTGTCATACTTCTTTCATTCACTTGCCAAAACAGCCTTGGTTTATGGAGGAAAAAGCAATATTCGATTATTCAGTTTTCAAACATTATTTTAGATGGTCAGTAGTAACCTCCTGTGAAAATCTAAGTATTTCTTCAATACAAGACTATCGTATGAAGAAGTAAAACACAAACATGTTTCAGAGGAAAAAATAAGCACATCAGGATGTAAGTTAATTCAAATTGAGCAGAAATCCAAGTGTTATTTAGTGTAACCAGTGTCAGGGGCCTGGGTGCACTGACAGGCTTTAACTGCCTGAACTCTCAATGGAACTAGACAATCACTGGGTGCCTGTCCCAGTTGCCTCCCTTGGAGGGTGGAGCAGCTGGAAAGGTGCCTCCTCTGCCATTCAGGTTATCCCCCTTCTCTCCTGGCCCTTGAAGAGCAGCCAGTCATCGCTGCTGCCTGGTAGCCAGTGTGATGCAGCCCTCTTCTGATGGCAAAAAAAACAGTTTTTGTTAAGAAATAAATCCATTTCTTAAGATTTGTATTATTTGCAATAATATGGAGGAAGCATTCTGTTCTGAAACTCCAAATTCCAAGTATTTTAGACACTAATAACTCATTGTTTTTCTGCAAAGGAGATTAATTTAACACTTGTTATCATGCTGCATAAAAAGTATCATCCCATCACATTTCTATTTACTACTACAGTGAAATACTGTTTGTTTTGAGGCAAACGGTCTTAGAGAACCTGCTTCAGATGCAACTCATGTGTCCCTATTTGTAATAGGTATAGCCCTTTTCAAAACATATTAAAGGACCATTCATCACCATTACAATGATGTAGCTGTCAATCTTTTCGGTAGCTACTCAAGAAGCTTAACCTATGTACAGTGTACCTTAAAAAGAAATAATTTTCAGGTTTCTTATTTTAACCCACAGGATCAATGCAATTTAACTCCACTGTAACAATTCCCCACTTCTAACAAGCCTGATGTTAAGAACCAATTTTTATTGAAAGCAATTAGGCCCATTTGAAAAAACATTATGGAACATTCAAGTTGATACTACGGATACTTCTTGCTTTCTCAATTTACCACCAAAGAGCACTTTTTCTTTTTCCTTTTTTTTTTTTTTTAGTGTTTTCTTTTTCAACATCAATCAAAAGGAAGTGATCTTCTCATAGAAGTCCTATAGAAAATGATACTTAGTTCAAATTGGATATTTCTTCATTCTGATACAACAATTCAATAAACAACATTGGAAAAACCTTTGACTACAAACATACATGGGAAATTCCATGGGATTTCTAAGATTAGTTGCTGATGCTTATATTTACTATAATAAGTACTTGTTTTCAGACAAATAGTTTGCGGAAGTTGATTGGACTTAAAACTTGAATAGATTTTTGTATGCATACTTTTGTTGAATTTACACATGTACAATATATCGCTTCGTATGTATCAATCACAATATTTAACTATAGATTCATAGTCCAACGTACTGTGGTCATGCAGCTAACAGACATCTCCCTCTTTTTCATGCAAACACTATTCTTAAATATAAATTCAGTCCTTCACATTGGGTAAAACATTACTAGGTCATGTTTATAGCATAGAAATCCACTCCAGCCTTTTTAGAAACAGACTTATTTATCGATAAATACTGAGTACTGTTACTCCTTTATTTCCCTATGGCACTTCAGCCAGTTAAGATTGTTGCTTTGATTTCAGTGGGTTTCAGATATCACAAGATAGAATCAACCATGCCGAATGCCAGGCAAGTCATGTATTATAGTTACACAGAACACTTTAGGGAAAAAAACAAAACCTGTAAATGTAGGTATAAACTTCAGTTCACCTGGAGTTTCCTCTGAATCAATTGCCTATGTCCAATGGAAAATTAATTAGCTGGGCTGTTAGGCACTTTGAGAAAAAATATTACAGTATATATACGTTCAAGAAAATCATAGCTGAGCTACAGCAGTAAGTTTAAAGTTAGACTTTATGGTTTCTCATAATGCTTGATTGCTTTTCATGAAACTTCCCACTAAACTTTAAACTTTCACGGGTTTCCAAATGCCCTGTATACATTTATGCAAACTCTTAAGTAAACTAAGAAGCCTTGGGCAGTATACCATTTCATATAATGCAGATCCAAAGAGATCTGTGTTTGAGCACTATAGTACCTACCTGAGCAAATTACACAGTAGGTTTTCAGAAAAAAGACAAACCAAACCATTAAGGTTCCAATAAAATCCAGAGGTAGGCTTTTATACACACAGTACTGTGTATGACAAAGTTATCTAAATCTAAACAGAATCCACTATATCAGCACTGGCAGGTATTTAATGGAACCAACAATTTATGGGGTGTCACATTAAGTAAATCATGTATACATCGGCAGAATGTCTTAATTCCCAGTATTTCTGTTAAGGCCAGAATATAAGGCAATATGGAACTGATTTATTCCAGAAGAATATTAACAATCGAAAATTAACAATATTAATTAAATGAACCCCAAATAATTTTAACATAAATGGTTTAACAAAGACAGAGACAGAGATTTAAATACCAAGTTTGTGTCTAATAGCTGAAGACTAACATAAAAACCCTCTTCAATTTCACTATGATCATTTTGCTTCCTGATTTGTTTTGGTTGTATCATAACTTCTGGTTTTCACCACATCCAGCATACACGTGTAAACAAATCTCTTTAGTGGATAAAAAAATCCGCAGACTGATATTGTTTTGTTAAAATAATTGATTTCTAAACCAAGATTTGTATAAACTGAATCTCATTATTTTACAACTCCACAATTCAGTATTTAAAAAGTCCTTCAAGAGTTAAAGAACTCATGACCTGTCATCAATTTCATTCCATTAATGCCAATGTACTATTTTAGCTCTTGTATAATGAGACTTATTTCCAAAAACTTCAAATATTACTGTTAGTATATTTCAAAATAACTTTTAAATAACTATTTATAATTTGAATGTAAACAACAACTTGTACATAGG